TGAGAGAATGTGCAGTTGATTGTCAGTTGATCTGTAAATCCTTCGTGTATCTGGTTGGGGGTAACTTCTAAGCTCACCCCATTGCCTGAATGAACCCGAGGCGAACTCATCGAATCTGTGTAAGAAAAGAGCAAATCTGAAGGAACCGTAAAGCAGAATCAAGCACAATGCAAGCTGAACTGTACTGTTGTACGTAATAGCATAACGTGTAAACTGATAGAGATGGGGGTTACGATATCTGTAGGGTTAGGGTACTTCCCTGTCTTTTTATGGTAACGTTTTGGGTTGTTACTCTTCTTTCCTACACCCAGTCAAACCAGCTAGACATCCTTAACAACATTCTAGCCTTTCAAATCTGATGTCCAAATTTCAGTGTGAACCGTTGAGGGTCATGCTGACAAAAGTATAATTCTTTTTGCTGCCTCTTATATGGATCTACCACAGATTGTTGTGTATATTAACAGAGAAAAAAAATGAGGTTCAGCCCGGTAGGCTAGTGAGTTAGGAAGATTGGGTTGAACGGGGTGGGGGGGGGGGCTTTCACGTAGAATTGTTTTATATTTACAGGTACTTTACATTACTTCTCAGGTTTGATTTTTCTTAAAACAGCACATTTATTTATCATTATTAGAATAAGAGTGCGTCTTGACGAGCAAACGGTTTAGAAACAAAGGCACTCACCAGCTACAGACGCTGACAGAAACAGGGCAAAAACAGCAAGCCACATCCTGGAGACAGACATGACCTTCCCTCATCAAGATATGCTCGAGACTGCCTGGCGTTGTGATTTTTATACCGGTGGTAAAGGAGGAAGATTGGTTAAACGAGATACTCGATTAGTACGGTCTTTCTGATAGGCCATCGGTGCCAGGGATCTATTATTACTCAGTCCAAAACAAGAGATTGAGGGACAAATAGCTGTATCGTGACTTTCATAATATTTCATAACTATATATATATTTTATATCATGACCATTAGAGATTATAACAATGATAATTACAATCTCGTATTCTGATTATTACAGATCATGACTATTACACATCATGACCATTATTACTGAACCAAAAGAAACCATTCTAACTTAGTGAGACACTTTTGTATTGTCTTTTTCCTTGAAAACGAAGCCGGACTTAATGTAAAGAAAAATATTAATTTGATTGAAATGAGGATTCGAAATGAATTCCTTCCACTAAAAGATAAGTGTGCAGCCTTGCCGATATACGGCTTCAAGAGAACAAAATAACTAAAAGAAGTTTAAAAATCCCCCTAGAGATTGCAGTTTTTAAAAGGGTACGATCCAACAACGTCTTTTTCTCAAACATTTTCACAAGAATTCTTGGGAATTACGCTGCAACAAAAATAGCAGATTATGCCTGGATGGCCTACCGTAGTAACTATAAGCTTTTTGAAAGGTTTATAAACTTGTAGCTATCAGAAAGAGTTCAGCTGATGTTATGCAGGATTGTGTTGTAAATGGCCCGTTTTGCACTCTTTTTTTTTATTACGGCGTTTTTCTTTCGACTATCAGATGTTCTTCGCAAGAACTCAAATTTACGAAACTGAGCACAATAATTGTGATAGCCTACCCCCCCTCCCCCCTTTTCACCTAAAAAACCCCCACAACAAACGCGCAAATTGTGTCGTGGAATGTAGCGAGGTTCATCTTGGGAAACAATGATCGGAATTGTGGCTAAAATGGTTGCTTGGATTATACTAACAATATGGATGCAAATGTTGTTGTTAGCGATGATGAAGATTATCATGACTTTTATAGAAGACGTTAGATTTGCTGGTCCCACTAGTAAAATTTGATTTCAGATGTTGAAAGGAGCTTTAAAGTTATAACATGTACAATGCTGAGGGCTGAGTGGACAAAGTGTTAGTAAGAAGAGGCTTTGTGAATGAAGAATCGAATTTCGTAATGGGGAATGTTCTCGATGAATTCGACTATGCATAAAATCGTGGCTGCTCTGAAAACAACCCAAGGTCAACCAGAGGAAATACTCGGGTGAGCTAGTACATTTTAGCGTGTGATTAACCGCAAAAGTTAAGTAGGCTTGCTCAAAAAAAAATTTTTTAATAAAGAAAAACAAGCATTAAAACATGAGTGCTTCGCGTTATCAGAACCAGACAAACTAATAGGCCAGTAAAAATTGACATCGAACCCGTACATGAAAGATAACGAGCAAATTTTTGAACTGTTAAGTACTACCGAAAAAAAAATTCAACAAAAATCACCTATGGGGAACTGGCTTAATTTTAACCTAATAAAAGTAATAAAAGTCAATTATCGAATTCGTTATAAGTTGTCACTATTTGTTCAGAATGAAAGAGATAAACAAATGAAACACAAAAATACTTTTATTTTTAAAATTGACCCAATAGTCATCACTTAATTAGCATTTAAAGATTATAAAAGGTCAAGATCATTGTCAAGTTCTCTTTAAAAATAGCTCAAATATAGCCGTGTTTGGTATCAAATTCAATGTTTCAACAAGAACTACACAGAATTTATGTTATTTATACAATTAACTTACATTTACGTTACCTATTGGCGGTAAACACATGATTGAGATAATAATATTATACGTTTTAAAACAAAAAGATATGGTGTGGTCATATCAAAGATAAATCCATGTTCGTGCATAGCATGCAGCTCGGCTTTTGTATGCCAAGCTTCAAGAAAATTCGTTAGTAAACATGGGAAGATAAGTAAAAATAGTAAAATTAGGGCGAAATAAGACCTTTTGTGATTTCACATTTTGAACCCCCCTCCCCCTCCCATTTCTACCCGATTGTTTGAGTTATGGTCATAAGTCTATAACTTGTACTGTGTATGAGTTTCCTTCTTCTAGAGTGGTGGCTCTGAAGAGCTATAGAGTCCTTCCCACCCTTGTTACGGCCTAGTTCTTAAGAAGAAGTCTGTTTGCAATGATTTGTAGGGAGCCGGACCCCTTCCACCCAATCCGCGTCGTGGGCCAGGTACTCAATGTGTAAACTAGAAGATACTGCGCTCGGCGGTTCTTTCCCTATGCCCAATTTAAATTGTGTCCGTTTCTGAAGCATTTTCATACTGTCCTCTACAATGAAAATGTATACTACAAGGGATGCTGTTCTTGCAGCATGTACAGGATTTGCATAGTGGAGTGCTGCTCTTAAACGAACAGCGGATTTCACGTAGCAGTTCATCTGGGGTCGGAGCATTGTCAGTTATCACTGGACTCACAATGTTGTGACTCACAGTAAAGTCGTAATAAATAAAAAAAATCAAAGACAGTGGGCAGATTAAGCCATTTATTAACCTGGCGATGTACTCTAAGGGCGTAGGATTGTGCAGATCCCTCTGTTGGAGCCATCCGTTCAAGTGGCATGTACTTTGGGGAGATGAACTGTTGATATCAAAGATCAGTAAGTGACAGTAAGGCTCAGGTTTTGCGGTCCACTGCAGTAGAGGAATGACAAGAACCTGACTCCTATGTCAGTAATGTCCTTTACATTGGCATCTGTTTGACCAAAAATAGTGATCTTCTATTGCCAATTCTCTGACTTTTGCTACAGCTTGAAAGCCTTAAGCTTACCCATGCCGAAGACAGCAGACTTTGTGTCTCATCCTGACACGGCATGCGCAACCGGGATACAGCAGCACATATTCTCACTTATGGTCATTTTAGCTGCTTGAATATAAATTATTTGGACGTTACTTGGCTTCAGTTATGTAGACTTTCACATCCTTGCTCACATGATGCAGAAGCATCACCAGTTTTATCTGTATCATTAGCCAAGACAACCACGGGTAAACCTTCATCTGCAAACTGTAATACTTTTCTCACAATGGGTGTGTCCGCATTCCCTTCTTCTTTGGCATGAGCAACACATTATGTTCTCTTCTTCTAATGACGACCCTAAGAATCGCACCAATACTTGCTTATTCTGAAGATTGGTACGGAACGAATCTTTGTCAGTCGACAGATTTGTGCTGTGATGAAGATCAAGGACTGAATGTGTTGTGTACGCAGTCTTCCTTCTCTTTTGCTCTGGTGCTTTGGTACTTATCGTTTCATAACTGTCAAAGACGGTACAAAGTCGAATATCTGGTGTCCTGTTTTGGAGCAAACAGTTGCCGAATAGCTGACACAATGTGTCCACTGTTCCAACCTTTATTCAGTATAGACGATGAAGCATGTGGATGCCATCATACACCAGATAATGAGGCTTGTCGTTGACATTAGCAGCAGCAGAAGTAGCAGCAGCAGCAGCAGCAGCAGCAGCAGCAGCAGCAGCAGCAGCAGAAGAAGAAGAAGAAGAAGAAGAAGAAGAAGAAGAAGAAGAAGAAGAAGAAGAAGAAGAAGAAGAAGAAGAAGAAGAAGAAGAAGAAGAAGAAGAAGAAGAAGAAGAAGAAGAAGAAGAAGAAGAAGAGAAACGATTTGGTGTATTGTGCGCACTAATGCAACGAGATGCAGGCCAGGAATAAGGAGTGGGGACGTGATTAAGACAGGTCAATAATTATACTGGCCGAGAGGAAACATGCTGTAAGGTATGTTTTGAAATTTTAATCAAAATATTGACTAGAATTACTCAAATGTTCTGACTCCATCATTCATGTGTGGATGTTGGTATGACTTGACGGTAAAGATATAGAAATGGTGTTTAAAACCCATTCAGACAAACCTTCTTGCGTAATTTACTATGAAAACAATAAGGTGATTCCTCGGTTGTGAGGAACACACTATTAGTTGTATGTCGTGAAACTTTCACCGGATGCCTTACCCCAATCTCGCCTAAATCGAGGTGTGATGCGTCTCTACTTTTTTGTCTCCGCTCTCATGTCCGGGTTCAGCCGGTTCACACCATTTTCATGTCAATTTCTACTGGCCTATAGTGCTTCCAACTGGTGGCATGTTCAAGGGTTTTTTAAATCGCACTAGTGTGACCGATGCTGATAACGCCAAGCACTTATAGCCCCATTTAGACGTGCAGTTCGCTGATCGACAAACTGTAGGATATCGAGAGGATGGCCGGTATTCTGTCAATTTCATGTGGAAAGTGAGCGTGAAACGAGAAATCCGCTCGATATCGAAGGATTCTCCGTCCAACCACCAGATATCTGGCGACGCCAGATATTTGCCGGCCGGAGAACTGAAGGAGTGACGACGAGGGAGCGGCTTCTTTGATGTTGCCCCAGGCGGAGTTGAAAGTGCATTCTAAAAATTTCCCAGATATTTGTCAAATGAAAAAAATTATAAGATTTTCGTGATCAGCGACACAAAATTAGTAAAAATTCGTGCGGGGTTGTACAATGTTCGTGTTGGAGTCAGCTGAAGGCTACACACCTTTGTTTCATATAGACAGTGCTGTTTATTTATTTATTTTTGTCTGCACGCTACCAGTTTTACTATTGCACGGGTCTTCTAGCCTAGTTCTAGTACAAGTACAATGTCCGTGTGGAATAACAAGGAAACTAGTTCCCACCCCGCTTATTTGGACCTAGAGATCTAGATCAGAAGGTTATGTTTGATGCACGGCGAGCGAGAGATATCCAACCTAACTGCAAAACATCAAACCAGGGGCGAAGCGTCTATATAATCAAATAATCACTGCTTCCCTTCCTAATTTTGAAACATCCCTTCCTAATTTTGAAACATTGTCGCTGTCAAATTCATCCTTAAACGTAAACCTCTTAAATTAAAAGTAAAAAGAGGTTCGTAATCCACAATGAGCATGCCTAACATTCAAAACGGTTTCACGGCCACAGAAATAGCCTCCTCACCCCTCTCGGGCCACTCCATAATCAGTCGCAAGCTTTGATTAAGTAAGCTTAAAGTGAGGCTGAAAGAGTCTACCAATACAGTTGAGGGAACATGTGCATAGCAGTCATGGCTGTTTCATTGCCACATATACCCTGTTCACCCCTTTGGGGCCACAGTTAAAATCAATCACAAGCCCTGATTAAGTAAGCTAACGAACACTGGTCGAGTCTACCTCACAAATGTGAGGGGAACTAACTCCTAACAATCTCTTTACTGCTGCATGTGCTTGTTTTTTTTCCTCGACTTTTTACTGTCCTATAATCAGATCGTGACCTCGATTATGACACCAGCTCCTGGCCGCGAAAGGCTAACAAAAACAGCCAAATGTGAAATTTAAAAAAATGATAATTGTCATGTTCTACCAAAGAGTTAGACTCTCTGGTAGATCTATAACATATAGATCTAGTACTGACATCTCTGCTTCTTTGCTTTGTGTGTATGTATTCACATCTAAAGTTAATTTAATTTTAGTTGGAGCTGATATTTAATAAGATACTTTCCCGATTATTTTGGCGGTTGAACATACAATATATGAATTCCGGATTTGTTTTCATTTACAACTCAGGCAGAGTCGCCGCCTCGAGTAAGATTCTTATGTGATATCTACAGGCCATATAGATCTATATCTGGTCCCGTTTCACTTTGATTACCCTGTCAAACAAGTCAGCCTTCGCCCCTGCATCAAACTATGGTAAAGTGCCCCCCCTCCCTTTGAACCCCCTCCACATTCTTATTAGATTTCTAGCTGCCCCCCTGAAACCCCCCTACATCTACTCTTGGGACCAAATCCGGCGAAAAGTAATTTGGGGGGGGGGGGGGCGAATGAAAAAATAATCTGTTCTACAGTTCATCGAACAATATCGAACGTTGCCAGTATTATGTAAATATAATATTTGTGTGTGTAGGTACCTCTTTTTAACAGCCATTCTTTAGCCCAGATGGTCCTCTTATTCTAGATTTCTTTTTGGATTTGAGAACAAGAAAAGCTGCCAAATCATCCAGGTAGCTTGCTTCAGCCATTGTTGACGTTTGTGACCTAGATCTAACTACAACAGTCCAAGGACGGTTTAAAAACTGTACGTACGTCTAAACGGAACTTCTCTCGTCGACAAACTGTCAGCTTACCTATGACCCAGATTGAGCGTCCGTCGGTTAAACTGTCAGTTTGTCGATCAGCGAACTGTACGTTTAAATGGGGCTTATGTCTTAGTGCAAATTTTGAAAGATGATTTGAGCAGCATATTATACAAACAACCTTGTTGCAGTCTGGTGTTCTAATTTGCAGTTATTATCGCGGTACCGGTTCCATTTTTTCAGTTTAAGAAAGTTTCTTTCCTACCCATTCACTATTCAGGCGAGCTTTGTTTATGGTTTTGGCCCAGTACATAATGGATATAATGAAGCATTCATAGTTATAAACTGTAATACTCAAGTTACATAGTTTTCATGTTTTTAATAGAAAACAGCCATAATATCTAATGTTAAGCTAGGTAATAGTCATGGCATGATACAACAAGTTATGACATATTATAGTTTATTTCCTCCTCCTACACAATGCGACCCTCACCTCCTTCAATCCCGGAGATCCAGATTCTGTTCAAGACATTGGTTGTGAGTGTGAGTCAAGCTAATTTGTTGCATGCTATGTTGAAGTAGTTCTCATTTAGCTGTGATGGCAGGCAAAATAGTGAAAATGTCTCTCCTGCTTATCTGACTGAGGTACCCTGCAATCTTCTGTAAATGGATTCCATTTTATTTGGATCTTTGGATCCTCGAAACTGTACGAGGTATCATCATCATCCAGTGCCAGATCTGTGACAGACATCGGCGATCATGGTTTTCCATTCATTCCTTTGCTCGGATGCTCAAAAAAAAAAGCTACGTTTCCCTGGTCTTTCCATGTTACCCTTTTGTTTAGGTCCCTAAGTATGTTTTTCTGGGCCTTCCCCTGCCTTGCTTGCCTTCAATTTTGCCAGTGAGAGCTCGATGTTCAAGACCCCTTATGGCTATTCAGGTGTCCCAAAAACTGCAATTGTCGTTTACTGATTGTTTTTAACATTGAGCGTCGCACGTGGGCGTCATCAAGCACTACCTCATTTGATTTCTTTTCCTTCCACGATACTCTTAGCAGTCTCCTAAGAAACCACATTTCTGTTGCTTCTATTTTATTTTCACTGTCTTTAGTGATTGTCCAGCATTCACAGTCATATAGAAGGGTTGACCAAACATAACATTTCAGGACTTTCAATATTGGTGTTCATTGAGATGTTTCTATTTTTCAGGATTGGGCTCATTTTGTTGAAACCAGCCTTAGCCATTGTAGTTCTCCTTTTTATTTCTGAGGAACATTTGGCGTCAGATGTTATCATATATCCTAGATATTTAAACTGTTGGACTTGTTTGATCTTTTCACCTTTGCTAATGAGATTACAACTAGGGATTGCTGCTTTTAAAAAATATTACCATGCATTCTGTTTTCTTTACATTCAACAATAATCCTTTACGTTCACTTTCTGTTACAACAGTATCTAGAAGCAATCGAAGGTCATTTTCAGATCCTGCTATTTAAACTGTGTCATCTGCATACCTGATGCTATTAATATTTTCTCCATTTGCTTTGAGGCCTGGACATTCTTCTTTGTTTCTAAGGATTGTTTCACTGTACATGTTAAAAAGGTCTGGTGACATAACACATCCTTGCCTCACTCCTCACCTGATCTGCTTATATTCACTGTATTCTCCATTAATTTGTACTGCAGCGTTTTGGTCCAAGTACAAATTTCTGATAATTCTTAGATCTTTTCCATGAATGTCTAGCTTTTCCAGTATCTTAAATAGCTCAGCATGTCTAACTTTATCAAACGCCTTTGAATAATCTATGAGGCATAAATGCAGATCTTTCTGTGCTTCAATACATCTTTCCATTAACATTGTTAAGGTGAATATAGCATTTCTGGTGCCCTTGTCAGGAACAAAGCCGAATTGCGTTTTAGATAGCTCTGGTCTTACACTTTTTCTCAATCTTCCCATTATTACTCGTAGCAATATTTTTGTAAAAATGACTCATAAGGCTAATTGTTCTATGCATATCACACTCAGTGGCACCTGGTGTTTTAGGTAAAGCTATAAAAACTGACTTCATCATATCTTCTGGGTTCTCACCGCTGTCATAAATAGCATTTAGGAACTTTGTGGTTATTTCAGTGCCTAGTTCTTCAAGTGCGACAATCACTTCAACTGGAATATTATCTGGCCCAGTGGCTTTTCCTTGTTTCATTTTCTTAATGGCAGCTTGCACTTCTGCTTTCAGTATTGGTGGTCCATTTATTCCATTCTTTAATATATTATTACCGGTTTTCTCCTCTATTATCTTTGAAAAGTTCTTCTATGTATTCTGACCATCTGTTTTAGACATCCCCGTTGTCCATTAAAATATCCCCTCCCTTTGATCTTATTCATCCTGTATATGAGCATCCTTTTATCCCACTTACTTCTTTGATTTTGGAATGCATGTATTTTCTGTCCTTGTTTTGGTTCTTCTCTATTTGTTGACGCTGATCATTTATACATGTTTCTTTTGCTTTGTTGCATTTTTTCTTTATTTCACTGTTTAAGATGGTGTACTTTTCCACATTTGATTATGCCTTTCTTCTCTCTTCCTTTAGTTTTAATATGTCCTGGGTCATCCATTTTTTATTCGCTTTTTAAGCTTTCGGGGGGATATTTTCTTCCACAGCTACCATTATTGAGTCTTTCTCTTTCCTCCATAGTTCTTCCGATTTAGTAATGTTTTCCAAGACTTGAAATTTATTTCTTACATCAATGGAGAAACGTTCTTTCAGTTTTTGATTTGTCTTTAAAAGACCTATGTCAAATTGAGGTTGATACTTTTTGAGTTATTTTGAAATTATTTCGATGGGAGCGTGGACCTGTGATTTCTTTCTCCTTCCCTTCCTCCTCCCCTCTCTCCTTCCCCTCCCCATCCCACAAGCAGGGTCATGGGCGGCCGGCGGTGTCCCTGTAACACATGTACGTCAGAGAGTGGCTAGCTGTGTTCCCCCGGGAGAACTTCCACTTTGTGAGGCTTGAGGACTATCATAAGGACAAAACTTCCTCACATCCTCACGTCTACCACTTCCTTGGTCTACGTTTTTCTGTTTGAGGCAGTAAATAGTAAGATACCGCCCGCTGAAAAAAACCCACCCCCCAAAAAACAACAACAACAACAACAACAACAACAACAAAAACAACAACAAAAAACAATTGATTGTTTTAACAAGCTAGGGAAGCTACCCCTAAGCTCAACCTCCAACCTGCAGGACGAAGTGACTGAGGTCGGGAACCACACCTTGGAGTCTGAAGTCACCTCTTACGACACGAAGATCGAACGTAAGCCTTATACTTCTCATTTCCGAGGTCTACAAGGCTATTAAAAACTACTTTATAGATCTTACTTACTTACTTACTTATTTACTTACTTATCTCTTCGTCTTAGGTGGCCATTGGGGCACCAAGGGTGATCGGACATTCACTTCATTCTTCTCTATTTTCAGCCTTTCGAATGGCTTCACCCAACCTGTCTATAGGTCATTTATAGATCATTGCAAGCTAACTTTGTCTCAAATTTAATCCGGCCGTAATTTCGATCCTAGATTAAGTAGGCATGTGAGTACTTGATTTCGTTTATCATCCTTTGTTCGTGTTAAATGGCTGTGATCAATGTTGGACATAGTTTGGATTGCCTTCGAATGTAAAACAATAATAATAATGGATTGCATTTATATAGCTCATATCCACTTATGCAATGCTCTATGCGCTTAACATGATACATATTATGGATTTACAAATCAATTTTAAAGGTACATAGTGTTACATACTCGTGCAAACACATATTCACCAACGCACGCACCACACACACACATACATACACACATACACACATACGTACATATGCACATACGCACATACAAACTCACAACGATCTACAGCTTGGATGGATTCTGTCTAATCGAAATATGATGAAAATAGAAACGCTTTTAGTTTCTTCTTAAAAATTTCTAGATTTTCTACTTCTCTGATAGTTTTTGGAAGCCTATTCCAAACAAGTGGGGCAAAATATGAAAAAGAGCGTTGGCCATATGATTTGTATTTTATTTTAGGTTTAACAAGGGTTGTTTTGTCACTTGATGGTCTGAGCGTTCTAGGAGGCACATAGGGTGTTAAAAGCTGTTTTAGATAGTCCGGTGATAAATCATTTAAGCACTTGTAGCAAGTTAAACAGATTTTATATATGATACGCTCTTTCACTGGGAGCCAGTGTAATGCTTTTAAAATAGGAGTCACTTGATCATGCTTTAGTTTTTTATAATTATTTTGGCAGCAATATTTTGTACTCTTTGTAGTTGTTGTAACTGTTCATCAGGTACACCAGCCAGTAAGGAATTGCAATAATCAATCCTTGACAATATAAGTGATGTTATTAAAGCCATCATAATACTTGCGTAGTCTTCCGGATTGCCCGCAAGACTTTAAAATCTACTAAAATTGTAGTAGATCTTTAAACTGTTTTCTCGAAAAGCTGTGAGATCGCAAAACACTTTAATATAACGGTATCGACGGTATTTATATAAAATACTACAAATCTCTTTCACTGTTCACAGCACTTCCCGCTTCTCATACACATTTTGTATACGCATATGGAAAAGGTCACCAATGGTACTTTTTAGTGGCAAAACTAGTTACAAGAAATTAATTTTATAGTGAACACTTTAAAAAAAAAGAAAAGTTCTCAAAACATGCGTTCAATAAAGATAATCTAGTGATTAGAGAAAAAAAGGACGGACTTGCTTTTAAAAGCAATATCGTCCCAGCTGTAAATCTTTTAAAATCAGAAGAAACCACCCAATAGGATTTATAAATTAGTATTAATTGTTAAGGAATTTTCTAGAATACAGCTAAAAGGTATTTACAAAAATATTGATCTGTTAGGACAAATAATAATTGATACAAGTCACCATGCAAAAGCTGGAAAGTTTATGTTCGATAATTAAGGAGATATTTGACAATAAGTTGCGCCAGGAATTTTTGACCGCACTTGAACATCACTGAAGCGATGAACCCTGGAAGAATGGATCCCAGCAAAAGCCCTACCTTTAATAATGGCTAATAACTTTGAAAGTATCGAAGAGTTTTAAGAATGAGATTAAAATCTATTAAGAAATCTAGCATGTATAATAACACTTCTCAATAATTAGGCCAGTGTATTTTGGCTCAACTCACAAGAAAAATTATGACAAAACTATTACTGATAAAATTGTAAAGTGTCACAAGTTAGTTTTCCCCCATTTATCAAAAAGGTACCAAAAATGAGATGTGACATTTTACTAGGGCAGTGGCGATTTTCAGAAGCTGAAGAGTGTACTTGAGGAAATTACTGTGTTGTGGAGAGAGAGAAAAAGAGTGGAGAGAGAGAGAGAGAGAGAGAGAGAGAGAGAGAGAGAGAGAGAGAGAGAGAGAGAGAGAGAGAGAGAGAGAGAGAGAGAGAGAGAGAGAGAGAGAGTTGTGGAGAGGTTTTGTGTACAATAATACCGCGTACTGATCAAAGTTTTTAAAAATTTTTGTCAAATTTGATACAACTACGAAGGGGCCTTTTTGCAGAGGGCACTGAAGCTTCCATCAGTTAATCTGTCCCGACAACATCAAATCGGTAATTATGAACACTAAATTACCATCAATCTCAATTTAACGTTGTTGGGTTGTTTTAAAAATAATAATAATAATACAGTCAACGCGTTTATTCAATCTCCATTTTCCTCGATACAATGTGTTCCATGATTCTTTGATTTCCATACGTTTTGGAAGAAACAATTATGCTGTAGGATTCCTGAAATAAGTGAGATTTTATAAGAATCTTTGTTAACTTGTGAGTTTACGATATGATTTTGTAATTTTTGTGGTTACCGATATCATCGTTTTTTGCTTATTTGAGCGAGGTTAAACTTGATTCTTTTGTTATTGTTAATATTGGTGTTTTCACTTCTTAGTTTTATTGTGTGCGTTTATCACAGTGTGAAAAGCCGAAATGAATACGTGTGCAGAGGCTCATAGATAGATGGATGGATAGGTTATAAATTGTTGAAGAAATGGAGGCGTGTTTGGATAGCATATATATGAGAGAGAGAGAGATAGACAGAAAAGAGAGAGGGAGAGAGAACATTCTGAAATAATGATGACAAAATCTCTCTCTCTCTCTCTCTCTCTCTCTCTCTCTCTCTCTCTCTCTCTCTCTCCCTCTCTCTCTATCTGTTTCTCTTTCTCTCTCCATTCCTATATCCATTACTTATTCTTCCTTGTCTTATCTTATATACTTTATGCATCCTTCTGTGCATAACGTTTCATATAGAACTACAACATAATATTATTGTTATAAGCATTATGTGTCTTTACAGTTCAATCGAAATTCCCATTCTCATCTCCAAATGCTTGTTCCTGTACCATAAAAACTTCTTAAGATACCAGGCTTAGACAATGAGCTCAAGCTTTACACTTAATGAAACGGTCAGCTAGTGGCTGATGGGTTAACCACATAATAATTGTTATCTATTCACATTAGCCCCGAAAGCTGACCGCTCGAGGCTTGCCGTGTACAGAGTCGAACCACACAAGCTCCATCAGTAATCAAGCCACCCAGGTGCTCGACAAAAATTCAGTCATCTTGCCGTTCAAGGCTCCCATTAAACAATGTAAACATTGTCTTACAGTGCAACGGTAAACGCTTTTTTAAATGATACTAAAACTTCGTCCTGACACAAACATCACACTTCCAGAAGAGCATTGAACAATAAAAACATATGGGGTTTTTTTTTTGTCGTTCCTGTAAAATTTACCTGGCAGCACTAATTGTGCTGTTAAACTAAGACAGGGACGTTAGATAAATTAGTCTACAAACGCTACAAAAATTAGTGTGAAACAAATAAGCTTTATTTTCGTTCATATTGCCTTGTCCAAGGCATTAACAATCAATTAGGAACTTCGCATAGAAACCGCACTGGCCAGTTTGAGGAATATTTTAGACAGGGGTCGTCAAACATTTGCTTAAGATTTGTCCAGAAATACAAACAATGTTGCGATCCGCCGTTCGGTTGGCCAGACTCCCACACGAGAGTAGACATGTGTGCACCTGAGGTAATAAAAGTCCAGCTGCTTCCATGGCCTTCGTTTGTAGCTCCGATGATGACACCTTCACGCCCAGGAACGTGGGAGTGGGCGAAATTCACCAGGTAGTCGAACTCGTGCCTGTCATTGATTTCCACTAGATATCCGCCATAAAGACGACATAGACGATTTGCTTCCGGTACATTAATTAATATTTGCTTGGAAAGTAAATAGTTTTTGCCTCCATAGCTCGTCGATTTGTAAATAATTGCAGCTTTAGAGTTATCCACACGTGTTCTTAGGTCATTCAGTTTGCTGTCCATTTCTTTCTCCTTTGCGTCCATTGCGTTCATCTTTGTATCCATTTCTTTCTCCTTTGCGTCCAATGCGTTCATCTTTACGTCCATTACGTTCATCCTGATGTCCATTTCCTTGACCCTCTGAAGAACTATGTCAACGCTGATTCTGGGGGGGGGGGGGGGGGGGGAGTCACAGAATAATCAAAATTGCTTACCTCAATTGTCTGTTCCATTTTCTTGAAGAATTTATGTGATTGTAGTTAAAAGACAATACATTAGATGTATACAATACAAATACTTCCTTAAAAAAAAAAAATATATAAAACATGAATACAATCTTTTCAGTGATTTAAAGAAATTATATAAACCATTATTAATAGTTTACAACCCCGTTTTAACTCAGCCTCAGACGCTTGACACAATTAATCAAAAAATGCAAATTCTTAAATGAAGAATAACTATAAAACAATAGAAAATAATATTTTCTAGTATGCATACAAGACGAAAACACACACACACACACACACACACACACACACACACACACACACACACACA